TTGTGTCTTGAATGTACTTTGGGGTTTTTCCTGTGGGGTTCTCAGGGCTCAAATGTGGTTTCTGTACAGACATTTATGCACACATTTTTCCTCCCTGCTAGGATCTCCCTACAACAAATGGGGACTGAGAGGTTTTAAAGTCTGATGACTTCATACAATTTTGTCAACAAGTGCTGGGATTTGTTTACATTTTAAAGACAGTCTGTTTAGTTAAATTGCCAAGTGTTACAAGTGTTGTGGTTATGGCAATGCCTCAGGTCAGGATCAGAAATACAAAGTGCAATAATGTATATTATTCAGAAGGTTATGTTACTGAGGGCAACCCTGCAGACAGTGGAAAGACTTTTTCTGTCTTTCAAGGGCTTAAGAGGAAACATTTACTGATCCAGTAACTACATGCAAAATATATATTTATTTGTGGTCAAACTCCATTTTTTGTGCTGCAAAGTGCAAATCAAATACTTGTTCTTTACCTGGTTTGATGGGTATTTTACATTACTTTGTGCAGATACAAATCGTACTAAAGCCTTTCTGCTGTACTTTGTCACTTCCTCAGCATTTGGGATATTTGTGAGAAGCTCTTTTAAAGATATTTTGCAGCAAATTTTCCCAGTGGCATGGAAGAATTTCAGGCCTGACAGTGAAAATCACTGGTTTGTACAGTTTTGTTCCTGAATCAGACACCAGTATTTCACTGGGGTGGTTCCAAAGGCTTTGCTGGAATCCCTCTGATTTACACCCATATGAGATCAGCATTAGGCCCCAGTGTTTTCATTTTTCATTTGTTATTCTTGGCCCTAATGTCCTTTACCACTGTTGAATACAATGTTCCTAAAACACCAGATGTGCTTGTGAGATGAGGGAATGTGGCAAAAAAAAAAAAAAAAAATAGATTGCAGCAATTCACTAAACAACACATGATCTTCTTTTGCCTTGTGGTCTGAATCCTGGGCTTTTACATGAGTATAACTGCATTTATTTCTACAAGACTGTTTCTGATTACCATTGGGAAATGAAGCTGTAAAATCCTTCCTGGCCTAAGTACTTAACAGGATCATTGCATCATGCTCAGTATTAGCTCGTACAATGGCTGATGCTTAGTATTATTTAGTAGAAATTCTGGATTTCAAATCACTCTTATAATATTTCAATCACTATATTACTGACTGGTTTCAAAGCATTATGGGTTTAGTGCTCTTTCATTACTTGCTTAGGGCACATATTAGGTGCTTGGAGATCTTAAGTAATATAGTTATTACACACAGTTCAGTTACCAGTTATCACATAGTTTATACCAGTTAAAACTGGTGGGAGATCCAAATCTGGCCCAGTATCCAGATTTCTTTGATGTGGTGGGAAGAACAGGTTCAAATCTGCAGCATGCTGGCCGCTCCAGTCTTAGACAGCAGAGCATTAAACAAAGTGCTGAGCTTTGGCTGAATGACTAATGTGACCAAACAACCCAACTGCTCCTCACCCTGCACAGCCAAGCCCTGGGAGCAGAAGGAAGCTGGGTTTGCCTGGGATCACCTGCATGATTTTGTGCTTGAGACTTGGCTGCTACAGCCAACTACTTACAAAGTTGTCTGCTTTTAAGGTCTGAGGCTTCCTCACTGATTATGGAAGTTACAGAGAATTGTTTTCTCATGCAGGCAGCAGCAGTAAATTTTGTACTTTAGAGTAGTGTTTTGTTCTTGGTTATACTGCAATATACTTGGAGAAGGGCACTTGAAGTCAGAAATTCAACTCAAATTAATTCTGGTACAAAGGATGCCAGCATCTTCTCCAGTGAGTCTCCTTCTGCTGCACCCACTAAATCATACTGAAATCTAGCAACAGGGAGCAAGATCAAACCTTTCCCTGTGTGTGCCTGAATAAAAGTATTGGTGTGCCTACATGTGTCCATCCTAGCTGAGCCATGAAGAACAGGCTGCCAAGACAGAAGAGAGGAGGAGAAGGTGCTGTGCTTCATACCAGCCTCAATTGCCAGGGATCCATAATTGACTCATCCTCTGGCAGAAAGCAGAGCCCTTGTGGCAGACACCAACTGGTGGGGTTACATCTGTACAGTCATCCATTATGTCTGTTTCTATGGGCACAAGTTCTTCTTACAGGGTACTCAAAATGCAGATAGGGTCAGTCCTTTTTCTCCTGAAAAATACTAGAAAATAGCGTTGGTGACATCTTCCCCAGAGCCAATCTGCAACATGTTATTTAGCAGGCAATGTTTTATATGGTGGTGCTTTAAGCTCAGAAGTAAAACCAGTCATTTAGCTAATTGTGTCAGTTAAAACTCTGCATCACTTTCTTTCAAAATCTCTTTGTTTACCTCTGTCCAAAACTTATTAAGAACATGATATTCAGTATTTTATGCTTAGATCCCTTGTGTAATACTTGCTCTCTGCCTAAAACATTGTCTCTCATCCCAGGGGTGGCTGAATTGCAATGATGAGCAAAGTGCTCTCTGTAGCTACAGTAAATAATCAGGTGGTGAACAACATTAGATGCTTGGAGATCTTGGAGCAGAGGACACAGTATAAAGTCAGTTGCTCCTTGGCAGGAGTATGTGGGGGCTCTGGGTAAAGTGAGAAGGCCAGGTGTGTTGACAATCTAACAACATAAGCTGAAGATTTACGGTGACTCACCCTTTCTCCTCTTTTCATATTCAATTTTGTAGGGTCACAAATTACATTACTACATACCCTTAAATAAGTTAAAGGCACCAAAATCATTTAAAAAGTAAAGTAATCTCTGTGGACTGAAAAATAATTCCTATTTTTACTGTCTTACCCAATGCATTTCACCTGTGATCTGAGAGGTTCGTTCAAGGAATAAGACACCACACCATAGCTATGTTCATGCTTTAAAAAATCCTACTACTGTGATGGTTTTGTGACACAGATTTTTTTGACAGATGACCAAATACCTCTCCTTCAGAAGTGCTAAGGGTTTGATCAAAATACACTGAAAATAATGGAAACAATTACTGTAAGATAGCCCCAGAACTTTGTGCAGTTTCAAATGTCTGCTCTTTTTGCTGTAAATCCTCCCTTCCAGCAGGTTAGTTATATATCAATATTCAGTATTCCTTTATGAAGTGATTGGGATGCTCCTCAAAGTAGTAAGCAAAGACAAAATAAATACATGTTATTTTTCAGTCCACCATCCCATGCTTAGTTCTAAGTGAATTTCATGCCTGGAAAAGTGTCAGGTTGATGGCCCAGGCGCAGGCATTCTCCTTTCATCTGCAAACACTTACTCTAGCAGCAGAACAAAAGCCTTCTCCACACTGATCCCTGACAGCACATCTTCAGACTGCAGAGACTTCAAATGGCAGACCCTTTAAGTCCTTGATCTGTCTGGCAGACTCTGCAACAAAGGGGCAAATCTGTGATGGGGCTTTTTATGGCTCACATCTCTAGCAGAAACTCGACTGGGAGTCTCAGATTGTCTCAGAGATCAGTGGTGCCTAATATTATTATGCACTGCTATTCTAAAAATAGTTCTGATTAGATTATGATAGATAAAACCCCACAGAAATGGCTTAGAATGCTAACAGTTTATTTTGAAATAAACAGAATTTTTTCCTAATGATATCTAACATTATGCTAGAAAAAAATCCTCCCAAAGGACTTTTTTTTTCTGTGCCCATTAACTAACATGAAGAGTGGTTAGTTTGTTATAAGTTTTACAAAAAAAACCCCATGCATCGGAAACCAAGAAATATGATAACAAAAGCATTTCTCACAAACTTCTCCAATCTAGTGTAAATGCTGGCCAGGATACCCAATTATACCAGGCATCTGTGGTTGCCCATCATGTAGGAGTTACAAGCTTACCTTGATGTAAGAAAAAGAGAATCACAATCTTTCCCACAGTATATAATCCGTAGCAAATGGAAAGTATACTGGGGATTGTGAGTTAGCATGAAAATGCAACCATCTTGCTTTTGGATGCCTGAAACAGGATTCCAAAATCAACAATTTATGAGTAACTAACTTCATCCTAACTCTCTTGGGGCTTTTTTCTTCTCATTATAGTAGAATTACTGTTTGAAGAGCAGTTCTTCTTCTTCTAAAACTGGTAGAGAAAGGAATTTTTCCTGTCAGACAGCACCCAGCCATCTGAATGAAAACAGCATCCTTGGAAATTGGTATTTTATGCAGGTCACCTGCAGACAGAGGCTCTGAGCCTTCACTGCCTGTTCCCTGGTTTGGAACATTGCCACCAGATGTTTTCCCTTACCACTCAGGGCTGCTGGCAATGTGCATCCCTCAGTCAGGAAGGTGAAAATGAGGGAAAGAAAGCAGAATAGCTTTACAAGCAGCTTGGATAGAAAGATGCTGATAGAGGAAAGTTCCAGCTCTTTACCATCACAGGACAGTCTTGCCTTCTGCCAGCTTATGATAATGAACACCAAGGGCACTTTCTTGACAGCATCTCAATTTAAGATGTTTTCCCCATAATGAATCAAAGGCAAGGAACAATTCAACCCAGCAAATAGGAAAAATCCCTGTCGTGCTTCTTCCCAGACAGACTGAGCATGTTGGATACCCTAGAGGATGGGCTGCCTTTGTGCTGGCCTGTCTATGTCCATCCCCCTCTGAAGCACTGCATCTCCTCTGCCCTATTTGCATCTCTCATCTGGGATCCATGCCCTTGGGCAAATTCCCAGCACCTGTGCACTTGTCATTACAGAGCTGGACCAGCTGCTTCTGCCAGCTTCTGAGAGGGCCAGCACACCCTGCTTCCAGCAGCAGCCAGGGAAAAGGACAGCATGTCCTTCTGCTGCCCCACCTAAACCTTCACCTTTCAACAGTCCCAAAACAGAGAGAGATGGGGAGTGTGTACCCAGAGAGGGATGGTGCCACCAGCAGCACTAGGACATGGAGCATCTTTGTTGGTATGAGCAGCCTGCTGTGTGCTGTCTCACGTGTAGACTAGGGTGTGACAGCAATTAGCTTTTCTTTGGAAGCAATAGGAAGAAAAAGAAAAATCCCACTCACATCACAAGACTTTATTTTCAGGATTTTTTGGTCCATGCCTTACTGTATCTGTCTGAGGTGCTTCTGTGCTCTAGCAGAACAGAGATCCAAAGGATAATAAAAACAATGAGAAAAGGGAACCATAGAAATGTAAGGAAACAATATAGAGCACAACTGAGAAAACAAATAATGTTTTGCACTTAGAAATTCCCTTTCAGACTAACAGCTAGCCAGGAGTACTTTCAAGGAATAGGCAGAAAGCAATTAAATTAATTGCTATGACCCACAAGTACACATCATGTTGTAATTGATAGGTGACTGAAAACTGGCAAACAGCACAAGGACAGCCTAATTTTCCAATTATATAGTAGTCAGGCCTTTGATTTTGAAAATGCTTTTTATGAGTTCTCTACCCAGTGAGCTGCATGGATTTACTTCAGAGGGTTACACAAGCCTGAAAGCCTTTGAGCTTTGGACTGTCTGTACCAGAGTTCTGAGAATTTCTGATTGTTTCAAAGATCCATTTTGTTTGAAGTGTTTTGTATATTTTAACTGCTTCATACCTCTATAAAATTTCTGCTCTTTCCTCAGTTCTTTCAGTACAATTTAGGAACAACTCCACAGAAGTCAGTGGTGCTTGTTGTAAAACCTGCCTCACTGAAACACTGTTTTTTTAAAAAAAGTTGTTTTTCCAGCAGCATTGGTATTTCCTCCTCCTCCCCAAACCACCTCACCTTTTTCCAGTCATCTATTCTTTCGACTATTATTTTAAGTACACCAGTAACAATATTGATGTAAGTTCAGTCCAAAGCGCTTAAAATCATAGAAAACCACAGGCAAACACTCTGGCTTCTTCTTTGAGCTCAATGTGGAACTGTTAGCACAAAAGCTGATAGCTGATAATGAGCAACCCTATGGAGAAGGATGCTGGAACACTGAGCTGTTTTCTCAGGCTGATCCAAAGTATGAGGAAGTTAATGAAAGGCTTTATACTTCAGGCTCCAAGATGATGGGCTGGTATCAGGTTTTAAGATGATGGATAATAAACTAATTGTTCTGAACAGATAACAGTAATTTGCAGCTGGACGGGTATAATCGGGCATTCATTCTCGAATGTTTGTATGTGCAGTAAAGATTTTTTTTTTTTGCTCTTTATAAAGCTATTTACCAAGGAATTTAATACAAGAGAAAATTAATAATTTTGAAAGAGCTGAATTTCTTAACTGGGATATCCTACCTGCACACTGACAGCAAATTAATCAGCTGATTGAAAGAGTAGCTATACTCCAAATGGTTTCAGGATGTACTGTGGAGCATTGTGTGCTGCCTGCGTGATCTGCAGAATTATCTGCAAAGATAAATACAAATATAATCAGAATGAGAAAAAACTCTTATTTTAATAAGTATCTATGGTCATTGTATTTGTAAAATATAGAATAACTTAAAAAGAAGGTAATTTGATAACCTTATGGAAACAAGAGGCTCAGATATTTAAGTCATTTCCAAAGCCAAAATGGCAAGCCTGAGCCCTGGCACTGGCTGCAGCCTGTGCTCCCCTGCAGGCAGCCAAAAGGGGATCTCCAGCTGCAAGCCCAAGAGTGCAAGATAACAATCTCTTGGAAATGTTTGTGCCAAGAAGTGTGGCTCCATTACTGCTCTCCTACAAATGCAAAAGATAATAGAATCAGAAAGACGCAGGTCTGGAAGGGGCCTCAGTAAGTCCTTTAATTGGTTTCCTGCCCAAAGGCAGAATGAACTGTACTTATGCTATTTCTGGTAAATGTGAGTCTAACCTGTTCTCAAAGGTCTCCTCTGATGGAGGCTTTGCAGGCTCAGAACAGAGGGCAGGTGGTGGTGATACCCAAGGTGGGAAGGCAGGATGGAAAGGCAGACAGAGGTGGAGAACCAGTTAACCAGGAGGAGCTGGATGCAAGAGCAAGGGAATGTGACAAAAAGAAGCAAAACAAGGGAAAAATTTCAGTTATAATATCTATAAGAAAAATCTAAGGAATGCAGAGCATAGGCACAAAAGCCAGAGCAAAGCTGTTTGTCAGGAATTAATTGAGGAAACCTGGATTTCATATGAGAGGGAGTTAAGTAAGAGGAGGAGGACTTGTGTAGCAGGAAAAGTGGACTATTTTATTATTTGATTTTTTAAAATAACATTATTCTTCTTGTTACTTAACCAATGAGCCTATGAACATACATACAATTGTTACCTTGAATTCTCTGCAGACACCCAGAGCACACTTCATGAATTGCTGCGATCTAGAGGCAATTGCAGTGTCTGCTATATCCATGAATAAGGGTCTCATTGTCAGCACTGACGTGTTTCCATATAAAGGTAAGAGCACATTATAGTCAAGTGTGAAAGCCTAGCTAGAGACATAAAGTTATTTTCTGAACATCTGTCAAATAATGCTGCTGCTGAGAAGCTGCTAGACCATTAGGGAGAGCTTCATTCTAAGATAAAACATTTGATATATACATTTTGATAAGCAATTTGCATCTGAAAACAGTAGACCGGGACCAGATGAGGAATGTAGAGAAAGGAGGAGAAAATGGAGGCTGAGAACTTCTGTTGATATAAATTAGCTTGCTGCCTGTGCTAGATGACTTGACATTCTCCATGACAGGCTGGAGACAAGTTGCAGAGGGCCTTGTTTAGGTGCTGAATACCTCTACACTTCTAATGTGGTTCAGCCAGTTAGGCCTATCACATTTAGAAGAGGAGAGCAGGTGTCATTCTACAGCAGAGGTTAAACAGGTGTCTGGTCAGGCTGTGGTGAAGATCCTTTTTGGTCTTTCAGGCCATGTATCCCAGAAGTGTCCACAACCAGCGGGTGACCCCATTCTCAGCCTATACCTGAAATGGAAATTTCCTCAGAAGAGCAAGTGCTGCTTCAGACACTTGCATCCCACCTAAGCAGCACATAGGTGGCTCTGAAGAGCCATATGGCCTTTGTTAGAACAGGAGCCAGATGGAATCGGGAAGAGATTAAAGTTCCATAAAAAGAATTGAAGTTACAGCACACAGTATGTGGCTATTCATTATCACCTGACATATTGTCTTCACATTGATTGCATACAGGGTGAAAAGCTCTACCAGGTAGGATAAATTAAACAGGTAAACTTAGTAATATGCTTTTCAAACCCACATCAGCAGAAACAGAAGCTACTTTTACATTTTAGAGAAACCTTCTCTAAGTCCCTTGTCTTAAAGGGACTGCAGCATGAGCTGTGCACAACTGAGATGCATTAGCAGCGCCCCAGGTGTCAGCAATGACAGAAGCTTGATAATAATGCTTACCTTATTTTCAAGTAAAGAAGAATACCATACTACATCATCAGCTCTACAGCAAGCCCCAGATTCTTTCATTGTGTAGTGCTTGAGCCTGGAATGACACTGAGGAACCCTGAGTAAGAAAGGAGGCTCTGTAATATCTCTGTGCAAAGCTGGCTGTCTCACAGGTAAGGGGCTCCCTATAATAGAGCTGTGCTCTGCACAGACAGGATAATACTGGTGCCTTTGTGCAGATGGGTTATGCTACAGAAAGTCAACATCTGGCTCAGGTGTCAGGTGTTGAATACATTAAATGAGTGCAGCAGAATTACATGATTACTCAGGAGAATATAGCTGAAATAATAAAAAGCTTCAGCAATGAGGCAGGAACTCTAATAACTCTGATGAAAGTATTGCTTTCCTGCCTCTTCTCAGTGCAAGACTGAAATGTCAGAGCATGTTGGCCAGCAGGCAGGTACACCACCACAGTTCAAGACTTTCTGTCCCTGTCTTTCCTAGAAAGTTTTAAATTAACCAGCTGAAAAGTATAATGCTGGATTCTCCTGGCATGAAAACAGAGTAAGTGGTCATTCTGGCCACCACAAACAAGGGGGTACCTGTTTGCAGAGCAGCCAGGCCAAACCTACAGTCCCTGCTGGTGAAACCCTGCCTGGATTCCACCCACATGACTTCACTTGTGAGAGAACTAATGGTTGCATGTATTGCTCTGAGGCCAAGTTTGAGGCAAGAGATTCCTTCTGTGTCTCCAATGTTATTTTGGTATATTTTATTTGGCCCAGAATTTGGGAAAACAAAAGGGAGGTTTTCCGTAGGGAGTGGAATGAGGAGGCAGGAAGGGCTACCATATTTCTCCAGATGGAAACTCCTACAGTGTTAGAGTCCAGCACTGCTGCAAGTGTCAACAGATCAAATGTGATACAGAAGGCCCTCTGCCAACTCTCTGCTACTGCAGCAGCAAACTGGGAAGAAAGCAGGAACTAATATCCAGTACCACTGAGCGAGGTTCAGTCTGTGCTGCACAAGGATGCAGCAGGAAGAAATTAGTAGCCACCTTCTCCTTTCTGCACAGTGTGACATTGGCTTGCCCAGGGCCCCAGCAGGACAGGGCTGTCCCAGAGAGGCTCAGGCCAGGCTGTTCAGGCCATCTGCTCAGTCAGGCATGGTGGCAGCAGCTTCTGTGGTAGGATCTTAATATGTGCAGTTCTTGTCCCAGCTGCTGCCTCCCAAGGAAGGCCCCAAAAATTAAGATGCCTCCAGAGCACTGCACACAAACTGTGCCCCCTCGGTGCCAGTGGGTGTGATTCAGACCAATAGCTGCTGAGGGCAACAGATTGAGCAGTAATTAGCTGCTGTTAGTCATCCTCTTCCCAAGTAAGAGTGGGATAGCATTTGATTATTTCAACACAGTTGGATGTGGGAGGGAAGGTAGGCCTGGAAACATTTTCCTGACAGCATACTTCTCAGCTCTTTTAAAACACCTCTCATGCTGACACTCAGCACAGCATTTCAAATAAAATGCTATTTCCTCTTGTACAGCAGCAAGGAAAAAATGCTGTCACAGGTTTTATAACAAACATTAGGTAAGCAGCAATCATCCCCATTGTGTAATCTGGATTCAGGTAAGAAAAAAATCCATAGATGGCTAAGAGAGAAGTACTGTGTGTCTCAATAATCTGAATAAGGGGTGAACTACTTGAGGACCACAGAGAAGGGACAGGGCTGAATGGGTTAGTGGGACAATTTCACACAGCTAAGTGTGAAGAACAAAAAGGCGTAGTTTTGAGACTGGGAGTGAAAACTGACTGAAGGAAACGTGTGTTATTTGTGTTCAGCTGAGTTCTTGTTTCTCTCTCATGATGTCACAAAAATGTGCGTGGTCTGCCTACAGAAATTGCCTGTCCTTCTGACAGGTCTGATCCAGCATGTAGTGTCACTGGCAATGTCTATTTGTACTATAAAAACCCAAAAACCTTATGAATGGGCTTGTAACTATTTTTTTTCCTACCTGCTGCTTCAGTACTTCATTTTCCTCCCAAATTAACAATGTCACAGAAATCTGAGAGCTGCCTTTCTTCTACTTTGCTCTTGGGCAGACATATCAGAGCTTCCTACTCAATTGTACCTCTCTCTGAAGGGCTTTGTGTTGGTCCTCTCAAAACCCTGCATGTACAGAACTTGCTTTGGAGGGAAGGATTTAGTGATCCTGAGTAAGCATAAGGTCCTCAAAATCCACAGAGTAAATCTGAGTGGTAACAGAAGATTTGACAAGGAAAGCTGCCATATACATTTTCTGGCTTATCTTGGGAGCGATTAATGTGATTCAAACAAAAAGTAGTTAGGATTGTGTTAGGATTCTAGCATTCCTAATATAATGTGTCCAGACTAAGAGTATTCCCTGCAAAAGTAGAGTCTGTATTGTGTACTACAAGTAAATAAATATAGGTAAGTGCTGTCTGTCTGTCTATGGTCAGCTCTTTAAAGGCAAGAATATTTCTTTCTTACCAAGCAAACTTGAAAGAAAAAGGAATTAAGACAGTAAGCTAAACATGCACTGTGAAATTGCTTAGTCCAACATTTAGAGCATGTTGTTGTCAGCTTGCATTTTTAAAAACTCTGAACCAGCCAGCTGAGTTAGCTGAGCTGCTAACAAGCAGGTCAGAAACCACACCACAGTGGTGGTTACTATTCTCCCCTGCACAGAGTTCTCAACAGCATTGATAAAATGATATGAACAGCTTAATATCCTGGCATAGTGTACAGGTGCTACCAGTTTTACAGGCACAGAAGAGGGTGTATGTCTTGGTTTTGAAACAGGAGGGGTGGATGACCAAGAACATTTCTATATTCAGGGTGGGTATTTTTTTTTCCTCAACCATGTGTTTCCAATGATGCATTTTACTGACAATAATGAACTCATTACTCTTCAAATCAGGGCGATGAGTTCTGTTTATAACAGTTTGCATAAGTAATCAGTTTCATATTCTAATGCATCTCTCATTTTGCATGTTTTAACACAGTAGATTTTTAATGCTCTTCAGGGATTGTCACTGAAACAATGTCAAGTAATACAGTATCAGCTTTGTCTTATCGAGACATTATTCCACACTCAAATATATTCAGACTTGTTCATTTTTCCATTCAACAATTCACCCGAGTAGTTCTAATGTTACTTTCCTGTGTTACATTAACCTTCTCTGGGGTTTAACACTTTAAATATTTATAGACTGTTCTAATGCCCAAATAATCACATTTCTAGTCCTCAATACCTCCTGCATGGTAATAACACCTACATTTTATCAGAAATTAGGCCTTTTAAATTAATGTAATGAAATTAAGAGAAATTAGTCCCTTAAAGGAGATAAATCACAGCATAGTGATCAGCCTTCTTTTTGTTGGTTTTTGTAGGTTTTAATTATCTGTCAGTACATGATCTGTCACATGGGGTGTTATATATCTGGTAGAGGGAGAGGATACAAAAGATTCAGATCCAAGGAACAATCATAATTTTTCTGATGTGTCTAATAACATCATTGATGTTTGAATTTTGGACAAAGAAACAAACATGCACTATGATTTTTTTTACAGTTAGGAAGAAAGCTCGTGCAGATGTTGAGCACAGAATTTACACAAACTCAGGCATTTGTGTGATTTGTGTGATTTGTGCCTCATGCTATCTTGGGCTGCTGCCAGAAGTGTAAGCTGCTCAGAGACTGTTTGTTTCCCCTGAGATTGAATATTCCCTGTAATGCAAGATGTTTTTAAAAAGTAATTTACTCACTGTGATATTAAAAGTCCTAACGAGTGGATCTATATTTCATTCTGTGTCTTTTCTGCTGGAAAATCCTGGCAAACCTCGTAATGAATGTTGTGTAATCTTTGTCATTTGTTTATGGATCTAATTTTAGGTACTGGTGTTTGATTTGGGGGATTTTTACTATTTTAAGAGAGACCAGAATTATTTGCCTTTCTAGGACCAGCGTTGTTTTGAACCTGATGTACCTGTAAATCACATAATCACCAAGAGCCTGATCCTCCAGACACTTACTGCTGTCTGCAATGTAAAATGTCAATGGACTGTTCATAGGACCAAGTACTGCTTCCTAGCTGTAGTGTTTGTAGATTTGGGTCTCGACAATGCACCTTTGTGTGCCTATCTCCAGCACAGTGGAGAGGCTACTGATGGGGAGGGAGAAGGTGCTGGGAGTAAACAGCTTGTGGTTCAGGTTCTAGACACACAGGGAAGTTAAGCACTGCATCCCAAAGAGGATGGAGTGAACTACAGGGAATTACTCTGACTCATCCAAAAGTTTTAATAATTTGTCCTTTATACTGGTAGCGCTGTAGAAAATCCATCTGCCTTACCTTAGTGTAGCTGCAAATCTTGCAGCCACGACTGCATCTAAACATACCTGTTTCCTGAGGCTTTGTCCTACCTGCCTAGGGCAGTCGAGGAGTTGCCTGAGCAGAAAGACATTGCTCCTACCATGTCTCATAGTCTGGTTTTCCTATGACCTAAGCCACGCTTTCGTGTGTCCCCAGAAGGCAATGTCTTTGCTTTCCAGCTATCAGTGGCAGTTAATAGTTCATGGACGAGAAGGGGAAGTTGTACTCAGAAAATGAGAATATGAAACAGAAACATCTTAAAAGACTGATGTTTCTGGATTGAGCAGCAGAACCCTGTGTTGGTATCAGAGGCACATAAATTGAGCAAGCTGTTTCTCAGAGAAAGAGATTAAAATAGAGTAGAGGTGTCTCACTCACACACACACACACATACATGTAATTGAAATACATATTGTCATACCTTAAAGGCAGTTGAACAGTTGATTTCCATTCTTCTGTATTTGAGGCTACTTGATGAATTCTTGAGTATCTCAGTTTGGAGAGGCTGATGTTTTGGGATGGAGTCAGTCATCAACTGTTTGTGACATTAACTATTTGTTAATAGTTCATAACAAATAAGTAACAAAGTTACTATTTGTTACTATTTGGATAAGATTGTCCACATTTAGGTAGTACCACAGACATGAAAAGGAAACAAAGAGCTTTTCCAGTTACACTCATATACACTCGGATCACCTCTCCCTTCTCATCTGGAACCTTAGGACAATCAGCCTCGCAAGATCTCTGAGAAACATGAAGTAGATTCCTTGGAGCATTTCACTTAAGATCAAGTACAGCAGAAGATCTAGTGCTATCTGCAAGGCAGCTGCAGCTCCCTGATTCTCTTCCCAGTCTTGGAAGCAGATTTGAGCAACATGAGAGCTGCTGTGACCTGTGTCATCTGGCAGTGGCCCCCAAGAGCTTGTTTACCTTGGATATTTTTTCATCAGATTATAATTACACCATGGAAACGACATGAGTGGGAAAACTTTGCATGTGTGGAGCAGGGGTCATTCAGGTACAGAACTTTGTCACTTTTAATACCAGTGTGCTTATGTTGTCAGTAAAGCCTTTCACTCCTGACAAACCACTACAGTAGGCCATGTCTCAGCTGTGGATTGCCAGCAGGTGTTAAGTTCCAGCTTTGTGCCCCTGCTCCTGGTCCTGGCAGGATGCACGAGGAGCCCAAGGCTGGAAGTGAACAGCTCTGTAACATGCACAACTTGCCAATCACTCCTCTCCTCCTCCACTAACTATTTGGCAAGGAGAGAAGTGACCTGAGGAGGTTACTCCAGGTTTTTATTGCTCCCTGCAGCCAAATGATCACACGTTCCTTTTTCCCTTCAGGAATCCTGCTTTGTCAGGGGCTCTATTCTGCAAGGCGTAGAGCCCACTGTGAGGGGTGAGTGCTCTCTCTCTCCCCAGTGTCAGTGGCCATGGAGAACACTCATCATATTTTGGGAATGTCCAACACATTATTTCAGAATGGCAAGCACCTTCCAGTACTGGATCTGGCAGAAATGGCACCAGAGCAAACTAGAGTCTTGCTTTTGGACCAGACTGTGATTTTGAAGGACGTGAGGAAGTTCATTATGCTGGATATGAGCCTGCTCCTGCTCTGACTGAAGTGAGTAGTTATTTATATTTGTGCTTTGATGTAAAGAGGAGCAGGACTGGACCTGCTGTGAGAGTGATTGATTTTCATCAGCTTGTGAGTGGTGAGCAGAAAGCAGGGCAGGTTGACTGCTGCACAGCAGTCAGTTACAAACCCAGCATCACCATCTTCTTCATGCTTCCCTCCACCCACCTCCATCAAACAGCTCCTCTTCATTAAAGCAGTGCCCCTGCCTCTGTGCTTGCTTTAGAAGTGTTATGACACTGCTGTGAAGCACAGAATTCCCTAAAGCCTCAGAGAGAGAAAAGATAAATGAGGCATCCTGAGCAATTGACTAAAGACACAAAAAAAGGAAGAACATGATGCTGATTTCAGCAAATATTTCTGCTTTCACAACACTCACTCACTGTTTGACTACTCCATAAACTCATTATATAAGGAAACATTGCAAGAATAGCCAGGAAGATTATGAAGAACGAAGTGAGCCATGTTTTACCTCTGCTCCCAGTAGCACTGACATTGAATTTGGCCACAGCATCTGCCATTATGGCTTGATACAGTTTGAAATCTATATGTGTGAACAATAACTGAATCTCATCTCTGATAAAATTCAGCATTTGAGTTATTTTAAATATTCTTCTATCATGTTCTTGTTGTTCAAATTTATCTGAATGGATTATGTTTGGAGAATGTATATAGATAAATATGCTAATAATAAATACAATGATTGATTAGCTACAATCAACAGGGAGCCAGAAGCACAGCCTACAATGAATTCTAGCCTAAAAGTGGTTACAAATATAAAGTTGTGCTTTGTTCCTTCAAAAGCACAGGTAACAAACCAGTGATACATTCCTCTGCTGGCTCTCTCATTGTTTTGTTTTCGCATGCTTGGAATCCATTTGTTAATGTAGCTCAAGAATAGTGAAAAAAAGGAAAGAAAAAGAGGTGTGCTTTCTATTCTAGTAGCTAGAATGGGGGTGGATGGGTGGGTGAAAGGGAAATGTATGTTTCAAGCTGATGAAGAAGCACATGCTCTGTTCCAGTTTTATGGTGCAGGGTTTTTGACATTTTCTCAAGCAATAAATAAGAAAGGTCACATAATTAATCATTCCTGGATTTAGTCCTTCTTATACAGTCTGGCTAGCTGTTTCACCAGTCCTTCAGCTACAGCTCAGACTTTGCTCAGGTGTTTCAGCTGTGGTGTGCACCTGCCTTCCTGCAGAACTTGGAGACTCTCTAAGCCAGGATAGCATAAAGAGGGGTGTTTGGTTTTAAGGCCTGTAAGACTTGTAGTTCTTCCTCTTTCCAATTCCCATGGGTTTTGCTAGTGGAGAGAGCACCCAGGTTCAGAGGTCTGGGCAGGACTCACCATCCAATGCCATCTGATGGACCACCTACTACAGAGCCTGAGGACTTAAAATGCCTATAGGTCCTAGAGATGGTTACAATGTTTTCATAACCAACCCAACTTCCAGAGCTACTTGAAAGCACAAAACCTCACCTAAAATAAAATAAATTAAACTGGCTTACTAGGGGATAAAACAGAACAAAACAGAGTATCTGGCAAGTCTCATTTCTCAAGCATGAGGACTTGAAATATTTTATTTAATTTAATTTCAGCTCTAAGAAACACGAGTGAACATTGTGGCAGAGGCCTAGATTTAGGAAATGTAAAGGCTAAAGAAGAAACTGTTTTAGAAAAACTTGTACTGTCACTGTTGTAATATGGCATTGTAGCTGCAATTTGGTAATTGGCAATAAAACTGAGATGAAGAGTTTGCTTTGCAGAGCACTTAGGTTATGGAATAAAAACACATGCATCAAAATTATGGCATAGCCTCCTGTATTGCATAATGTATTGCATAAGAGAAAATAGAGAATAGCTACTTCCCATTAAGACTTTGTCACATGGAGAGGTCATGGATGCCAACAATGGATGAAATTTAATGGAGAAAGCAAAACTGAAAAAAAAAAAAATTTGATTCAGTCAACTTCAAAATCACACTTCATTCAACATAATCTTTTAAACTATTATTGTTCCAACCAAGACAATTGTAACTATAAAAGGCTTGACATAAGGATATTTTTACGATGTCAGGTGTAAGCCCTTTGGATTCTATCAAAAGATTGTTTAAGTCTCTTTGCCTGTAATTTCTCAAGTGTAGTCAATCTCCTTCTTTCTGTGGATTTTTCTTACAGCAAAAGGCAAAATAAATATTTTTAATTGGTTGTGGAGCTCTGGCACCGAAAATATTTTTTATATTAATTGTTTCTAAATGTAGAATACATATAGAATTTACTTTGGGCTTATTAAATCTTATTGCAATACCAAAATTTTCCATTTAGGCTAAACAGAGTTTTACAGATTAAAAGAAATAAAACTGAAGGGAAAGGAAGCCTACACTCTTTATTACATTCATCTTTTTTTAGAATGACAAAATTAAATCAACACCCACATAAAATATAATTGCCAATATCATACCATTTCTTTTTTCAGAGCCAAAGAAGACAAAAATCCATCATTCCCACCTCCAGGTCAGCTGCTCAGCTCTTTTTTCCTGCCAAGATGATTGCTCTGCCTACCTCTGCCCAGAAGAGGAGCCAGTGAGAGGAGCTGCGTGTTAGGGACCTTGCACTGAGGACCAACCTCCCAGAATTTCAAGAGTGCTAAGGAATGTGCTGGATCAGACACTGGGGAGGTGCCTTTTTACATAATTACCACAATTTTTTAGTCAAAGACCGCCTAGGGCCCCCTCTGGCTATGCTGCAGTCTCTATTGCAAAGCTTTTGCTTACTTAACTGAGGAAAAATATATTTAAGACTGCACAGGCCAGGGGAAGGAATGGGCCTGCATTGTCAGCTCCTGCTGGAGCCCTGCTACTGTGTCCTACTGCCAGCATGGATACACCTGCTGCTGCTACGCACAAATTGTCTTTCTGCTGCCAAGAGACATCCACCAACACCCGCAGTCACGCCGAACCCTGATGGCGACCAGAGGAGCTGCTGGTCCTGGCAGTGCAGCAGGGATGAGGCAGATTGAATTATGAGTTAATCAGTTTTGATCCAGTCACTCTGCTGCTAATCAAATTACCCTGTTCAGCTCAGCATTGGTTTGGAGCATGTCTACTCTTGGTGCCAATGCAGTTCAAGTGGCACCCTGACGAATCCACGTTTCCAGTGAAGGCAAGCCCTAGAAAGCTTAAGCCATGCAAAAATCTTTACTGTAGAACTGTACAACAAAACACTTCTTGTCCTCTTTATGAAGACTGTACCATTATTTTGTTTGATGTTACAAAGGCTAAAAAGATGTACAGAAAGGATGCACAGAAGGATGTATGGAAAACGGCAGTATGCTGATTACTGAGTCAAATTTTATTTGTGAGGAACACAAGCACGTGAGAATTGCCCAGACTGATGATTTGTGGCTGGGAGCTGTGGAACTCTGAAAGGGACACTTGTGCTACTTTTTGCAGAAGGAGTTAAGGCCTCACATCAGCAACACACAACTTCCTCTAAACTGCTGGTTTAAAAGTAACATTAGAAAAACTATTTAAAACAACAATGTGTTTGCTGAGAACATATTACTTACTCAGGGAATTTTCTTAGTTTTCTTTTTCTTCCTCAATGTAATTTTTGCTCTGTAGCTGCCTGAAAGTCATGGCACAAAATCATTTACTCCTTCAGTACATTCCAGTTGACTTCAAAAGATTGCTGGCGTAAGAAGGAAAGTGCTTGGTTTTCGTTTATTCTACAAAAGAGGAACATGATATAAATAATTTAGATGACTCGTCTTTGCCAATGCCTTGTTAACCTGAAAGTTCCCAATTCATGTCAGGGTTCATGTGGGCTCTGGCTGCTGTACAGCCCAGGTTTTGTGCAGCCTGGGTTCAGCTGCAGCAGCCACAAGCATGACTGAAGTGGTCACAAGATAACACTTGTGTTAAGGGAAGAGGGTGCAAATTCTCTTTCTTTTGAATAATGACATTTACAGAGCAGTAAATTGCATTTCAGTGCTTGGCCACTTAGTGCCTCTCCAGATGGCTTAAATGGAGCAAAACCCCAACTCTCTGTATAGTACTCAGCTACATGAGTTGCCGTTGCCCATGATTTTAAATAATTTTAGAGGCTGTTTGAAAACATGACCTCATTGCTGTCTTCAGCTTCACAGGGGGAAGTGGAGCGGCAGGCACTGATCTCTTCCATCTGGTGACCTGTGACAGGACCTGAGGGAATGGCCTGAAGTTGGTGAAGTTTAGGTTGGTTATTACAAAAAGGTTTTTGCCCCAGAGGGTGGCTGGGCACTGGAACAGCTCCCCAGGGCAGTGGGCACAGCACCAGCCTGCCAGAGCTGAAGGAGCGTTTGGACAATGTTCTCAGGCACATGGTGCGACTCTTGGGGATGTGCTGTGCAGGGCAGGCAGTCGGACTCAGTCCCTTCCAACTCGGTATATTCTGTGAGATATATTTATCTACTTATAGACAATAACTAAATAAATACGTACATCCGAAATATTTAATGTGTGGGCGTAACACAAGACTTGAAGAAAGGAGCAGTGCAAGCAGACCTGGTGCCTTTTCACGTGCCGGGCGAGGGGAGGAAGGGGCGGCCGCGCAGGACGAGTTTCCCCACAGCACATCGGCCCCCGGCGCACGCCGGGATCCTCCTTCGTCGCTCCCTCCTCTCTCCTGCTCTCCTCCGTTCCTCGCTCCCTTCCTTCCTCCCATCCCGGGGGAATCCACGGGCGGCTCCCCTGCCGCTGCTCGGCCGCTGGAAACTACCGCTCCCATGGTGCACCGCGCGCGGCGGGAGCGGCCACCTCCCCTCGGCGGGGAGGGGGGTGTAGAGGACTACGCGCTCTCGGCCGGGGCGTGGCCGGCGGCGCGGCCCCTCCTCCCCCCCGGACCGTGTGTCGGTTCGGGCTCCCGCCGTCGCCATTTAGTGCCGAGGCGTCGCCGGGCGGCCGCGCTCGGTCCTGCCCGCCGGGCGCCACCCGGACTCGGCTCGGCGGCGGCCCCGGGAAGCGACAGCCGCGGGGAGCGGCGGCTGTGGGCCGCGGTAGCAGGAGGCTAAGAAGAGGGAGGAGGAGGAGGGTTTCCGGCTCCGCGCGAGGCGGCCGCGGCTGTTGGAGAGAGCGCGGCCCGGCCGCGCGGGCGGTGGCTGCGCCTGCCGGGCGGTGGAGAGGCCGCGGCCGCCATGGGCGCCCGGGTGAGGCGGGGCTGAGCCCCCCGGACCCCTTTCCTTGCCCTGGGCCTGCCTGGGCCTCTGCCGCTCGGAAACGAGTGACTGAGCGCGGCGGCTTTGCTGGCGTGCGGGCCTGCGCCCCGCTTCCTCCTCGCGTCCCGGCCCCTTTCTACCCCCTTCCCGCACCCAGGCCGGCCCCGCTCTCTCTCCATCGCCCGGGGTAACTGCTACCGGCGCTTCCCCGCTCGGGGGCCTCCCCGGTGCTCGGGCTTTCCTTTCTCTCGCCGTCCGCCACTCCAACCCAGCGCCCCGTGTCTGCTCCCGGTGCTCCATGTCGGCCCAGCTGCCCTGCTCCCCGCTGCAGGATGGATGCACACGCTGACCGGGGATCCACCCCGCCGGCCCAGCCTCCCAGCTCCGCCGAGAGGAGCCCTTGGGACCCTCCTCTGTTGCAGCTGCAACGGCAGCCGCGGCCGGGCGCGCTCCCCGCTCAGTGACCGGCCCTTCCCTCGCTTGCCGCCGCCGCCTCGCCACAGCCGCGCTCCCCCGGGGCACCATGTCGGCGGACGCCGCCGGCAGCGGCCCCCCGAGCCCGCGCTTCCTGGTGCCGCCGCCGCCGCCGCCCAGGAACGGTTCCAGCTCGGACAGCTCTGTCGGAACCTCCGGCACCGGTGGAGCGGGCGGTGGACCGGGCAGCGAAGGCCGCAGTGAGGAGTACCGGCGCCGCCGCCACACCATGGACAAGGACAGCCGAGGGGCGGCAGCCACTGAGCACCGCTTCTTCCGCCGGAGTGTGATCTGCGACTCCAACGCCACGGCCTTGGAGCTGCCCAGCTTGCAGCCCGCAGCGCCCTCGGTCCCTGTCTCGGGAGGCAGCGCGGCTCCCTCGGTGTTCCCTCCCTCGGCTGCCGGCCGGACCCCTTACGCTCCTGCCGCTGTCTCCGAGGCCGACTCGCGGCCGTCGCCGCCCGCCCCGCTCCCCCTGGAAGGACGGGCTGCCGAGGAGCCCCCGGCCGCCAAGGATGCCGCCCCGCTGCTGCCCAAGGAGGAGGAGGAGGGGGATGAGGCAACTGCGCTACCCCCTACCAGCGTCGCTGGCAGCCTGTCAGCTGCCAGCCGGGAATTTGAGGAGCGGAGAACGCAGCAGGAAGACATTGAAGAGCTTGAGACCAAGGCAGTGGGCATCTCCCCGGATGGCCGCTTCCTGAAGTTTGACATAGAGATTGGAAGAGGCTCTTTCAAAACTGTCTATAAAGGACTGGATACTGAAACCACTGTGGAAGTTGCCTGGTGCGAGCTACAGGTAAAATAAATAAATAAAAAAAGTGAATTATCACACCACAGTCACTCTCCCAGGTGCTAGTCATTGTGCTTGAAGGGGATAAAACCCATCAGCTCGAGATCTGCTTAATGCAGAAAGAGCTGCAAACCTTACCTGAGGCAGTCCTTTGAAAAAAAGGTGCATCCTTTCCATAGAGGCAGTTTGCCTTTTAATTATTTTAAATACTCTCTGAAGAGTCTTTTAGCTTTATCATTACAAAACGTGCTACAGTTCTGTTTCGTATAGTGTCTTGCATTTTATGCCTTTGAAAGGAGGATTGTAAAATCGCTTGTGTACAGCTTCAAGGAGGCTGAGGGAAGATGGGCAAGTGAATGTCGACTTGAGCTACCCTTAACGTTTCAGAATTTGTTTAGGTGTTTTTCTTAGGAAGAACTGTGAAAACATTAATTTCACAGTCATTTCATTGGTAGTGGCAGTGGATTCTTGTGGGATAGATAACTCTAGAACGTACACGAGTCATGCAGTGTATCACACCATTTAGTTTTGCAAAGTTTTATTAACTTCAACTTCCAGGGTTCATATTTGTTAACAGGGACAGGGAAAGAAATTATCTTTCCAAAGCTTTATAAAGCACCCTAAAGTTTAGCCTTTCTAGATGGCTGGTAGATTAAATTGGACTATGACACTGCTCTTTTACCAAGTTTCTAGACTGAGCAGAGCCAGAGTTCTGTAGGAGCCCAGTCTAAGGATGGCAAGAACACCCTTGGTTCCCTGCGAGTCACAGCTTGTGTAACAGACACGGGTTGCTGTGCAACAGCCTGGAAAGAAGTGGGAAGAGCTGGGAGTACCAGGAACAAATACCTGGTGTGCTGGTTTGTTTTCAAAGCCTCAGAGTTAAGTAAAAAGGTTTAATGTTTGTTTTTTAGTATTGGGTTTTGGTGCAATTCACAGAAGGGCTCATGTAGCACATCTTTATTATTGTTTGTGTTCCCATCCAGTTTAGGGCAGACAAGAGAGCATTGGGTGAAAGTCCCAAAACTCTTTGTAGAGTTTTTAAAGCAGTCAGTGGCTCACAAATGATCAATTGCAGTAACTGCACCAGAACTTTCTCAAAAGCACTTGTTTATCTGTTTCAGTCAAGCTGAGGGAATTTATTAAAAGATTTCTTAATTTGAATTCATAGTTGCTTTTGGATGGTTGCTCAAGCATTCTACCAGTATCTTGGTTCATTATGTTATAGCCATTATTCTGTGCTTACTAACTGTGGAAGAAAGCTTCCAGTTTTCTTTGTGACCCTTCAGCATGCCCTGCTCCTCCAAGCTAGCTACATACTTGCTGTGGTGGCCTGTTTCAGCATTGATTTTAAATTGAAAGTAAAATGATCAAGTGTTGGCTCTGCTGAAGCTTTACCTGTGCAATTTGAGTTGTGAGGTGATTAATAATCTGTCAAAATTATATTATTTTTATTTGCAATTTTAATCTTTTGAATTTTTGAGTTCTGTGACTTTAATCTCTGAATATTGTTTTAATCTTCGCATTTACTGATCAGAAACTAATGGCAACTTGGCATCAGTTGCTTTTCACTAATGTTGCCTCTTGGAAGTGTCTTAATCATCATCAGTACCATGTGGATAAACTGTCTGAAGACACACCACTTTTGAAGGAATTTGTTAAAGAAGCTCATTTTTAAAGGGCGTGTTGCTGGGCTTTCAATTGGTTGCTGAATTTCATGGGTAGTATTGAAATTGACAAGTTGCAAAAAGCATGAATGAAAATATTTGCAAGGGGGAAATACTTGATGTGTTGCTTAGAGGGGAACTGCATTGCAGGAGTGCCTTGTGGGTTAAGTTAAGCCAGATTCCTGAGGCTGTGTTTTTTCTCTCAGGAGGCAGTTCAAAGTGACAAGTTTAAAACAGCTTTTAAAAATGTACATTTTCTAGCTGTTAAAAGTATTTGCTGAAGGAGCTAGACTCTACAGCTAGTAGAATATTTTAAGATTGAATCCTATTGTTTGTGACTAGAAAGAAAAGGAGGAATTTGGTATTTATTGGGATGGTGGGTATATTGTCTTATATAGGAAAATTGTTGACAGGTTGATATTTGTTATCCGTGATTTGTATCAGAATGAAATCTGCATTCACAAAGATGGACTGAAACTTAGCTGTTATTGGTTTTCCAGGATGCCATGGTTTCGGACTTGTTGAACCTTCAAAGCATAATTATTTTGTTAGGGAAATGTGAATGATTTTTTTCATGCTGTGTTACAGTAACCATAACTAACTTGTGGTTACTTTTAATTATCTTGAAATAATGTTCCTCAGCAATAGCAGTTTTTGTTAGGTGTCTGAGGTGTGTCCCACCTCCTCAGAGTCTTCCAAACAGCACTACTGAAGGTTTTGTGTTGGTGTCTGGCAGAATGACTTTTTAATTCTGAATAATGCACTTATGCCTCATTTTTTTTGTGTGTGCTCTGTAGCAATGAAGATCAAAATCTGAGACTATGACTGTGCTTCCTTTCAAAGGAAGTTTAGGTGCTGTTCATGAAATGCAGCTTGTGTTTCCAAGTTAGTGAAACTGGAGGATATTGCTCATGTCCTCAAGGCTCTTGAATTGCCTTGTAATTGAATTGCCCCTTCTGCTTGATAAATTGAACTGTGGAGGAAGTAGAACGGAGAAGAGCTGAAATTCACTGGGTGACCTGCTGGTGTTCTTAGTATCTCCAGGAAGCCAAGGTCCTGGCTCTTTATTTTTTATGGATCTGTGAGTCAATTTTGTTGAAGCTAACAAAACCTTACCACAAGTGTGGCTGATGGACTATTCTAGTTTACTTTGTGACCTGTACCTATGAAGCAAATTGTTACTGAACCTACTTTAAAATATTGTGAGCAGGTATTCAAATGTGAAATACCTGCCTTGCTGTGAATGTAGTGGAGCTGTGAAGAGCTTAGCAGCTACTGCTTCATGCCAGTGCTCAGCTTCAGTTGCTGCAAGGAAATTATTAGTGTAGTGTTGGCCTTCAAATACATTTATTCCCCTTGTATGTATTAATCTCAACTCTAGTTATTCTGAGTCAAGTGTGCCTCCTACTGTTGTCATTAGCACATCTCATAAATTGACTAAAATAGTAGTTAGGGTTACTAATTAAAGGGTTTTTAAGTAGGTAGACGTTGACAAAAATACCTTTGTAAATTGTGTTTGAGCAGTGAGTTTGTCTCCTCTGTACAGTTCAGGTAATGTTGTGGCTAAAATGTGATGCCTTCCCCTGATGCTTTAAGTTTGCAAAGTAATACTCATATGCCAGAAGTAGCAAGTCACATTGCTGGCTGCAAAAGCCAGATCTTAGTGCTAGTGTGTCATCCTTGTGAGTCCCTGTGTTAGTAGTTTTAAATCAAGACTGTCATTTAACTGCTGATTTACAGAGTGCAGATTAATACAGTCACTTGCTGGACTGCAACATCTAGATAGAATTATTGCTCTGGATTAGTCAAATTAGTAACTTTTCAAATAGGGTTGTGCTTGATGATGTGGAGGTAACTTGGGCTCTTTTGAGCTGTGTATTTGTGAGGCATTTGAAGACTTACCTTTCATTTGGGCAGAGTGTTCTCTTAAAGGAGAACTGTTATGAGCTGTTATTTATGAAGGTATTTGCATCGGTTGGTGATGTGCTCCTGGTAAATGGTGTGCACTGGAGAACAGCACTGTGTCTGCTGGGAGCTCCTGTCCCTTGTGTTCCCTGACAGAAAGGGTGGCTGGGCAGTCAGCACCCACAGTTCATGAGTGCACCTTCTTGCTGATATATGTTGCTTTGCCATTCTGACTCTGGCTTCAGTGCCATGTCAGGTTATTCTGCTGAACACGTGAGCTGCTGAAGGATTAGAAAGGAACTGGTGGGGTCTCCCTAAGCTACACCGTTTCCAGAGGTAAGAAATGAGTTGGACAGGTGAAAGTGGTACACAAAGTTTGTTGTGCTCATTACTGTTTGAGGGAAAGCTGACTGTGAATTTGGTTACCTTCAGCTATCAATCATCTGAGTAATAAACTGGTGTAGGTTACGTGTGTGCAGTTCTGTAGCAGATGTCTAACTACAAACCAAATGTATTGTACAAATACGCCAGCTTGCAAATGGATTTTTCTTTCATAGGAAATAGCAATGAAAAACTAGCTGGAACAAGCATAATGCCAGAACTGGATGTGAACCATGGGACTCTGTAGTGCACTCTGGTAAAAATGATAATGCAAGTAACACTTTGTAGCAGGAAACAGCAAGGTACTAAATAATATTTCCACCTGTCAGAGTTTTTCTGAGTCTAACAATGTTAGCTTAAAACTCACAGTGCAGGAAGTAGATTGAATGTGATGTTTAGCTTTACTTTTAGTGACACTTCAGATTTAATGATGCCTATCATTATCTTGTAATCTTAAACTATACTTAATGGTGATTTTTAGGTCAGCAGACAGCAATGGAATGCAGTTTCTGTACTTTGGAGTGTAGACTCCACTGCAGATTTACCATGACTAATATCAGCTTGCTGAAGTCAACGTATAATTCTTAAAATTCTCTATTCTTTCTGGACTGGCAGAGCTGAGAATGTTTCAGAAGTTGCACATTCGAGTCTGACAACCAAAAAAGGTCTTGTATCACATAACTGTGGCATCCTGTAGTTGTTTGTTTTGTTTTGTTTTTTTCCTTTTTAAAAAGCTGGTTGCATATTGCTCACTAAGAGTCTTGACTGCAAAGATGCTGGCTCTGATGCACAATCATGTAGCTACATTAAAGCAAAATGGAAAACCAGATCTAGGCCTTTCTGCAGTAAGAGGAAGCTGAGAAGTGTGGACCTGGAATTCATCTGTCAAGTGCTGTTGGAAAACGATTACATTCTGTTAGTTCTGGAGAAACAGTTAATATCCTGAAACAAATACGCATTCTTTGAAAGCTCTGACTGTGATTTAATTCTGATTATTTAAAAATACATTTTCTAAAACTTACTGGGAGGTCAAGTCTAATGCAGCAGGTTGGCTCC